AAAAAAAAAAAAAAAAAAACTATTTTGGATGCCGTTTTCTTTATATAAGGAGGCTTGCATGCATGATGCAGTGGTAGTTTAGAGTCGAAATTAATTTATTTTATTTTTGAATTAAAAATCATTGTAATTGACCAACCAGAGAATTATCCTTCTAAAGAGCAAGAATATAATTTTTTATTCATTTAGTACTAGTAGTCCCCACGACCCTTCAATAAATATTAAATAATATTGACTGTTTAAATTATTGGTTATTGATTGGTTTAAATTTTGATTCTCTGTCACTAACTTTCGCTTTCACCATATAACGTACATTTAATTTCATAGGTTAAATCATCATTTAAAATGACCAAACTGAGTACAGAATTGGATATGAAAAAAAGAAGAGAAATGAAAAAACTATTTAAAACGATGATTATTGGACGAGTGTGAAAAAATAAAAAATAAAAAAAATAAAAAAAAAAATTTGAAAAAAAGAGAGAGAGAGAGGAACATGTTGGCAATTTTGTTGGGGAGGAAATAAAAGGAGATATAGCAGTACATTTGAATATCTTTGATAGGGTCCATTTCCCTGCCCTCCCAACTTCTTGATGGACCATTTTCAGAAACAAAACAAATTAAATTAATGGACCAAACTCACTATTCTGGAGTGTAGGACATTGAATCCGATGTAGTCATTCCAATTAAAAATATATATAATATATTATTATTTTGAGTATTCTCTTTTTATTTTTAAATCAAGCCAATTGAATTGTACAGAGATCTGTCGACATGAAGCAAAAATCTTTTATAGGTTTTCAAATTTTTGTTGATTTTGTTGATTTTTTTTTTCAGCTTATATTTGAATATTTTGTTGGATTTATTGAATTGATATATAAAATTTTGGGTATATTGCATGGTCTTAATTAAATTGGTTGGAAAATCCAATCCGGACCAAATGGATCACCAATAATTCTGAACACTGTTGCTATGACAGGTCTCTAAAGTATCTCCAGGGTTAAATCATTATTAACAATCATTATTCCTTTTCAAAGTCAAAGTCAAACATGGCTCTTCCGCTTTGATTTTAAAGGAAAAAAAGATCTTTTTTATTTTTTCTTTCGCAAATAAAAATTGAGCATATGTTTAGAAGTAGATCTACAAAGAAATAATTTTGAACTATTTAGTAAAAAAAAAAAAAATCTAAAAATAAATAAAGTACAAAATAGGTCTAATAGGGGTCCTGGTTTGTTTAATAATGATTTTTAAAATCAATTTTCATAATTAAATAAAATAAACATAAATGATTTGTCCACTTCAAATAAATTATTGATTTTAAAAAATATTAAATATGTGAATAATTTATTAGACATAAAATTAAGAATTATATGAATATTCAAATTTATTGAAATTTGATCAAGGGAGTAAATATGCTTTTAAAATTTTGAAAATTTATTTACTAAGAAACAAAGTATAATTAGTAATCTGAGGCAGAATCTACTGAATATCGTGATCATATCTATCAATCCAAAGATTTAAACATGAACATAAATCACAATTATGGTGAAATGTGTGGTTTTGATCGGTTTGTTTAAGTCCACTGTCCCATACAATATCTAGTGAGCACTCCATCTTTCATCTGCTGCATATCACCACCATCCACTAGTGGTAACCTAACTTGTATTCAAAGCAGTTCACCAGATAAGAACACAACATGAATATACTATTTCTTCTCTTCTCACTCTGATGATAGATTCCTAACCTGTTACAAAAAAACAAAATTCAGGACACAGATCCTTCATTAAATCCCACTGAATTGAATTCTAAAGTTTTAAGTTGTTAGAATAGTCTAATAAACTGTACCTGTGGGCTTAGATAATGTGGGGCATAGATCCTTTATTAAATCCCACCACATTGAAGACTATAAATCGTTAGGTAAGTCTAATAATAAGCAGCAATACGTGTGGGCTTAGATATCAATTTAATTCACAACTTGGAAACAAACAACACTTCCAACTTGTGGCCTAGCATAATATATGTATCTCTCCAGGCTGATTCAGTTCATTTAAATCCTTTGTCCATGTGGCTTCAAGCTGGCCACTCATATGTTATCCTCTAAACTTACCCACACATGTGTGCAACTCAACAGCACTTCATTTATTTGATAGAAGCCCTTTGGATTTGGAGGACGGTCACAAATGGAATGGCTTGTTTTCAAGTGGTTCCAATGAGACATGTCATACACTTGAAACCGGACACTAAACCTCACTGTTCTGAAATCAAAGCATATGGGGTGGGGGGAAATGTGGCATAGGATGCCTTCACATGTACAATTGCCCCACTTGAGCAAGCAATTATAAGTAGGCACAAATGTTTGTGCAGCCTACATTACATACTATGCACCCACCACCGTCATAATACTCACCACCAACTCGCACCACTCACCACAACCATTCAAATTCTCATACCATTTTCACCTCTTATGTTTTTCACCATTCCATTCAACAATAATATTAAACCAACCTCCAGTTTTCTCAAACCACTAAATCATCATCCACCACCCTAAAAGTTATCCAGTCTTTTACTCAGAAGCTTAATAGATTATTGTAAATCTAATTATATCAATACTTCAACCAGGCAGACAACAGATATTGGATACGACAAGATAATGGAATTAATCACAAAGATAATTAAACCCAAGAAAGGAAATGCTCACCAGATTACCATTTGAAAGTTCATCCTTCCTCTCCCAAATCATTCCCACATTCCTCTGTTTTCGGGGAGCCCAACGTTGAAGATTCCGATTGCCTTGACTACAGCCTCTGTACACACCATTAGTCTTCGCTCTTTCAATTTCAGAACTCACTGAAATACCACTTAATTTGTTTTCCATCTCCTTCATCTCGTGGGTGTACCCAATTTCAGGTCGACATTGACCCTTTGTCCCTTCCTTTTCATCCATTTTTCTTACCCAAACATTTTTCCTTCCCCCAGCCTTGCATTCCCTTTCTCGCATTTCCTCCTTCAAGTTCTCCTCAGGTGTTGGTGACGTTCTCTGCATCTCTTCCTTCGGTGCTCTAACGTTCTTCTTGCGACCCTTCCTCCTAGATTTCTTTTCCTTCTCATCTTTCTCCAGCAGAGGCTCGCCTCCATCCTCAGTCTTCTTGTACGTCTCCTTCACATTGCGCGGATTACTCGCCGGCTCAGCTCGATAATACGTCTGAAACTTCCTGCTCCCGCTTCTGCTCCGAGAAGTAGCCTTTATTCGAGGCTTTTGAACCGCCGGCTTCTGATCATCCTTCTCCGCAGGTTCCGTCCGCTGAACCTTCTGTTGCTGTTCTTCCTTCTCTTTCTGAGGAGGATTACTGAAATAGTTGGAGGGTTGAGATGAAATCCTCCGTCCCCATCCTTCCATCGCTAAATGGAACTGTATTCTAAACACACATCGAGCACCCAAAATCACTGAACAAGAAATCCCAAATTCTGGAAGTATTTATTATTTCACCCAATTGAATCTTGGAACGGAAACGGACTGTGACCATTTTTTCAATACCAATTTTGTTACTTAGAGAAGAATGTACGGCCTCAGCTTCAAGTCCAACTGCTTCCCGGCTTTTTTTTTTTACCGAAGAAAGATGAAGCATGGAACTAATCTAACCATCTTTTTTAACCATACAATTTTATCCACATTTTCAATTTTAATTTTTTAGCACATTTTTGTTATATCCTAAAGAATCTACCAATCCATGTAACATTAAAAATAATTAATAAATAAAATATCCCTAAAGGTAAAATAATGTAAATTCAAGCATAGTGACCACAACTTCCAGGAATGTAAAGACAAGATGACTCCATCTATCAAACAATTACAAAAGACATCCTTATCATCTTGTCAGAGAATGACTCAGACAAGGACAACATGGAAAAAGCTGCAAACAATGCATATGGATGTAGAATGAGTCAAGGAAGCTACCTTGAAGAGTGAGTTCGAAACTCGTAGGACGAATCAATAGACAACCTTGACATAAAGTCGACGATTCTTGTTGAGATCCATTCCTTAGACAACAAGGTGGAGGAGATCTCTTCCGCCAACAAATTCAAGAATACGGGCGAAATGCAATGCTATCGATCTCCAAAACCGACGAGAATCTGCTCAAACTCAAAGACGCCTCTGCCGGCGGCATGGAAACCTTGCTCGTATTCAACAAGTTGGCCTTACAGAGACAAAATTTGACCGTGTACGCTCGCGACGAAGCGTGATGGTGTGCAGTATGTCTTTATGCGGATCCGAACCACGAAGCTAGGGTTATTGTTTGGACTGGTTCTCGAGAGGTTGCCTTTCAACAACCGGCTTTGCATATTCTCAGCTTCTTAGTATGAATTTGTCCGGTTTCGATAAGTAAATGCCATTTGTAACTTAGTTTACATCGGAGTTCCAGTTGGCAAATGTATTTCTTCTCGTCGTATTATGTTTCCCACTTGCATTGTGTTTGTCGTTTGATCCTATATCTCTTCACGATTTTGGAACCTGAGTCAAGGAGTAGTAACAATGGCGCCGAGGGAGGAGGAGGACTCGAGGATGGAGAAGCTCGAATCAGCATGCTCGGATTTGAAAATCCTCCTCCAAGCCTCGACGGGATTGAACGATAGCCTAGAGAAGATGGAGAAGAATCTTGATTCAATCGACGAATCGCTCGCGACAGCATCGAGAAGCATAATACCTCTACAATCATTGGCGATGACGACAAAAGCCCTTGAAACGAGAATCAATCGTGCAGCTTCGCCTGCTCTCGTTCTGCTTGATTCCTTTAAGCGATCCGAGTTTCTCCAACGCAAGATTCTCGCGATCTTCGCCAATTTATCGGTGGAAAAATCGGCACAGGAACGTCTGAAGAAGCTGATCAAACTAGTAAACTGTGTGGATAGACTGAATGAATCAATAAGCATGATTAGCCGAGAGGGGGAATCGGTGATCCAGAAACTTCAAGAGGTGGTAGAGTTCTTGAGCAGGACGAAGGCTGCTGATTCACAGCGGACACACAGACTGAAAGAGACGATGATCACTCTCAAAGCTCTATACGAAACAGAAATTGACGACATGAAGTTTGAGGGGTTGCTTGACGAAGCTTTGCTTAATCTGCAAGATGAATTTGAAAACATATTAAAGAATCTAAAGCGTCAAAGAAAACCCAAGTTTGAAGATGGTGAAGCAGAAAAAGAAGGTGAAGCAGTGGGGTTTGAAATGGGTACCGAGTTGGAGATCGAAGCTGCCAAACGAATTTCTGAAACCCTCGCTGCCAACGATTGTTTGGATATTTGCATCAATATTTACGTCAAGGTAAATAACATATTTTCCTTTTCTTTTTCCTTTTAGTAAGAAAAAATTGCAGCCAAATTCTATAACTAGCGTTCATAAATCAGGTTAGATACAGAAGAGCAGCTACGACATTGATGCGGCTGAATCCAGTCTATCTCAAAACATACACTCCAGAAGAAATTGACAAAATGGAGTGGGAAAAGTTGGAGACAGCAATTTCTCTGTGGATTGAACACTTCAAGGTCGCAGCCACGAGCGTGTTGGTTTCCGAGAAGAAACTCTGTAGCCAAGTTTTAGGCTCCATCATGGATGGACTGATGTGGCCTGAATGCTTCGTGAAGATCGCGGACAAAATCATGGCCGTCTTCTTCCGATTTGGGGAAGGCGTCGCCAGAAGCACAAAAGAGCCGCAGAAACTGTTCAAGCTCTTGGACATGTTCGCCTCCATGGAAGAACTCAACTCCGAATTCTCTGAGGCATTCGGCGGCGAAGCTGGCACAGAAATTCGCACACGATACAGAGAGCTGGAGAAGCTACTTGTACACGCGTCCAGCAAAGTATTTTGGGACTTCGGCCTTCAAATTGAGGGCAATTCAGATGGCTTTCCTCCTCCAAAAGACGGCTCGGTTCCAAAACTAGTCAGATACGCCGTCAACTACCTCAAGTACCTTGCAAGTGACAACTACAGTTTCGCCATGACCAAAGTTCTCCAAATACAGAAATCATGGAAGGGCGGAGTCGTTTTGAAATCGGAAGACGAGGATAATCTCCTCAAAGACGCCTTCTCTAACGTAATGGAAGCCCTACAAAGAAACGTGGAATCCAAAAAATCGCGCTACAGAGACAAAATCCTACCGCATATCTTCTCAATGAACACATACTGGTACATCTACATGCGGATCCGAAACACGGAACTAGGAAGATTTCTAGGAGAACAGTATATGAGAAAGAATTACAAAGCAGTGGCAGAGGAATCGGCTTACACTTACCAAATGCTATGTTGGGAGCCCTTGCTTTCAGTAATGGACATGGAAGACGTGCGATTACCGAACAAGGAAACCGTGGAAGAATTAGCGAAAACAAAAATGGAAGCATTCGTGAAGGCTCTAAGGGAATTCTCACATAAACACAGAACCGCGTATTGCATTCCAGATTTGGATTTGCGGGAGCAGTTGAAAGAGGCAACTCTGAAGATGATACTGCCGGCTTACACGGAGTTCTTCAATTTGCACTCGGCTTTGTTGCCGGGGATTGGGAAGTATTATGTGGGCCTAGAGACGATCCATGATTTTGTGGGTCGGGCCTTTGAGTTCGAAAGTGGGAGTGGGAGTGGGCCTGGGCCGGGTGGCAAGTTGAAGAGACGAGGTTCAGTGGATCGGATGGCTGAGATATCGTCGGATGGACCAATCTTGGGCGTTTGATTGGAATAGTTAGAGATTGCCAACAGGGATTGATGACCACACAAAAGGATTCTGATGTTTTTAAGGAACTTGGTCGAACATTGAAAATATTCTTCGGTTCATGGATTTTTAAGGATTTTGTCCAAAATGAACCAAAAAAAATGTATGTTTTATTGTCACACACTATGGTCAAATGAAATAAAATACATATAATCAAGTTTTTGTTCATTAAAAAATATGCAAGGCAACGAAAAATGCAGTTAATTGAAAAGGTTTGTTCTAAAAATTGGAACACTCGCAAAATTGAGTCGGCAGATTACCTCTGACAATCACTTATGGCATCTTCGATTCTGAGAGGATAATTCCTTATTCCAGATTGGATCTGCCCTCACGCACAGGAAACCCCAACTGGAAGTTTAATTGGGTAATTTCATTGGGAAAACCTGGGACCGATTTTCCGAGGAAATCTATTCATAGAACTGCAAACATGGCGAATCTTAGCTCCGAAATTGACGAAATGGGTTCCTTCTCCTTCACTGACTTCCCGGAAGATGTTCAGTTATGCATCCTCTCCTTCCTCTCCCCCTCCGATATTGCGGCTTTCTCTTGCACCTCGAAGAGATTCGTCTCTCTCTGCAGGAATGATAGGAAACTCTGGTTTACTATGTGCGATCGGAGATGGGGTTCCACTACTCAGATCAACAATTGGGGAAAAGGGAAAATCGCTTACAGGTTACTCTATAAAACTCTTCACCAATGGGAGAATCTCATCGGTTTTTGGCGCCGGAGTGGCTCGCCGACCATCGGCGTCTCATCGCCGCCATTGGTGTTCTTCGAATGGGGCCCAGATTTTATTGCTGGCTCTAGGGTTTCTCCGTCAAGGAACGGTACTTACGACGTGTTTAAATCTCCATTTCTATGGATGGGGCTCTCCCCGGAAGCTCAGGCCATGAGTTTCATCGACCCCGATGGCCGTTCTGGGTTCGCCGGGAAATTTGCTGATTTAGGAGAATCCGATTTCTCCGATTGCGATTTGATTCCGATAGAATTGAGCTTCATGGGGACAAATCATTTTGCCATTGAGGAAAATCTTACATTCGCTTATCCAAATTCCCCAGAACGAAGGATAAACGGATGCCGCCGAAGTTCCCCAGAAAACAGTTTAGCCGCCGTAACAGATGTGAACGTAGTGGGAAGTGGCTCTCCGGGAAGCTTACTGGACGGATTAATGTCAGAAATTTATCAGCAGTTTGCGAATAGAACCAGCCCGGGAGGGGATAGAGCCTCAAGGAGACAACGGAGAAGGGAGAAGGAAAGGCTAGGAAAGCGGAAGTTGGAAGCAGAGCATTTTGTTAAAATTGTGAATTGCTCTCCCACACCATTGCGGCCAATACAGGGCTTATGGAAGGTGTTGTCCCTCCCTCCCTCCCTTGTGTTTATGTACCCTTTTGGAACACTACTATTTATGTTCTGTTGACATTGATTTCATTGTTGGGAGTGGTACAAATGATATAGCATGGCTTCCTATTTCGTCGTGCAGGGAATCAGTGATGATATGCGCATGGATTTCTATCTTGTTGTATATGATGACATTGGTGGTATTGCCTGTCGGAGAGTTGGGGACTCCTCCGAGGGCCTCTCTAGTTATTCTCCCGTGTTTTGGACATCCAATACTACCTTCTTGGAAGCCCCATTCTCCCTGGAGGAGGAACATTTTCACGACCGCCGAATACATGTTCACCCTCTACCAGCCAATGACATTGATGAGCTAGTGCCTTCAATTGAAAACAAAAAGATCTCTCACATTCTTCGCGTCAACTCGAGTTATGATCTAGTCCTACCAGACCTGGCTGGAAGTGTTCCGAATCCTCGCAACGTCGAGGGAAGAATATGGCAGTACAGTAATGGGACTTTTGGGTTCGGTTTCCTTGGAGATAATTTTATTATAGATTTGAAGCACATTGCTCGAAATGGTTCGATTCTGGATACTGTGGAATAACTTGTTTGTTGATTCTTCATTTCATTTGATGAGTTCTTTGGCCAAGCGCAATCTTCATTCAATCTTGTTATGTTGGTTTGAACCCAATTTAGAATATAAACCTTAAAAGAAAGTACTTATAATTATAGGCATCCCTTGGAATTGACAGGACTACGATTCAAATCCACAAACATGAAATATGATGAAAATCAAACAGATCTTGGCGTCTGTTTGAGCATGTTATTTGAATATTTAAGAAACAGCGGGCGAAGAACACACTCTTAAAAGGAAGAACACACTCTCAAGCTTCTGAAGCCACCGCTTCGCCATTGATTTTTTCCTTTGATGGTATCTTTTCATGGTCTCCCTCAAGCTGACTCAAGTTCCCTTTCTCCTTGATGAGTTGGATATGGTGGTGCTTGCAGTAAAGTCGCCCCTCATGAGCGATATAGTTGGAAGGGCTGATCGTGCATCCGCCATGGCAGCATTTGAAGCAACTTTTGTGGTATGGAGTTCCATTTACAGTGACCTTCAAACAGAGACCAGTTCATGAAATTAGATCCAGGAAGAAGAAAAAAGATTCTGTATATAGTTGTTACCTTTTCTGTTGGATAAACAGTGTTATTACAGCCAAGACATTTATCTCTGGTTCCGCCAAACATGCTAGCTACCTTCTTAGCCGTTGGTTTCTGCTGATGCATTTTCAGATCAAAGGGTGAAACATTAGAAATTCTAACAGGCTCAAGCAATCAGGGAATTACCTCACTATCAACCGGTTTCTCTGGTTTTACGATCTTGGGTGTTCCTATAAACACAGAAATCAACATGAAAAATCCGAGAAATCAGATCCATCCAAACAACTTATAATTATTTGTACCTTCAAAGCTTTTGTCAAGACTGCCAGTCCTCTTAAAGAGCTGATCAAAGTGTGGCCTGCAGTAAAGCACTCCCTCAAAGGAATTGTAGTTGCTGAGCTGAAAACAGAGCAACAACTTCAGTTTCAGAGTTCTATCTCCTTCGTTAAACATAGGATAAAAGTTTTACCTTTAGAGTTCCTTTGCAATGGTGGCATCTGAAACAGGCTTTGTGGTAGATGCGGTTGTCGGCGGTCAGCTTGTCGACAAGATAAACGGTTTTTTCGCAAGCCATACATTTCTGGGTTGTGCCTGCAAATGCCATGGGTTGGGAGTGGAAGTGAGCTTTGTTTAGAAGAATGGGGAGATGAAGCAGAAGGAGAGGATTATATATAGATATGATTGATGTCAGTGGGGAAGCAAACAATCATTCCGTTGGATCTTTGGAGCAGACCCAACAACTCGTTTCTTTGATAAAATGTCTCAACCTGTAGCTGTCTTCAAATCAAATCAGTAAAAAAATTAAAGACAAAGAAATCTCAAATTGAATCATGAGAGGTACGTGCACAATTACTTTATTTAGTATTCATTCATTATAATTTAAAAATAAAATATTTTTTTATTTTGGAAATGGTTTGAAATTTTTTAATATAATTTGAGAAGTGTTTAAATTACAATTTGATTTCTGTATCATTATGTTCCAACTAAAAAACTTCCTGAATTTTGCATTTAATTCAAATTATACGTGGGACCCTATAGGCTTGTTTTTTAAGTTATTTTTATGAAACTAGTTTTTAGAGTCGGCAATAAGTGGGTAAAAATATATGTAAAAAAAAATCGAGATAAAAACAATAATGAAGATAGGGTATTGAACCATCAGTATTGAGATGGTATGATACTCTTCTGTAACAGTCCAAGTCTAGGAATGACTTCGACGAAGGGATCTCACAGTTTTATAAGGAATAACTTCGATTAAGGGATCTCACAATTCACTCATCTTGGGGGCTCAACATCCTCGCTGGCACACCAACCAGCTAATACCATTTGTAATGGTTCAAATTCACTATATCACCATCAGTCTCATAATTTTAAAACGCATCTATTAAAGAGAAATTTCCACACTCTTATAATTAATGTTTTGTTCACTTTTCCAACGAATGTGAGATCTTACAATAAAGTTTATTTTCTTAGCTGATTTCGTGCATGTTAAATCTTAATATGACGTTTCATCTATTAGAAAAAATTATTAAAATAATAATAATAAATAAATAGAGGAGTGATGAGAGGCAGAGGTTGTACCAGTGTGTGTTCCTTGAAAAAACAGAAAGAAAGAATGGAGATGGGATTTGCTGTAAAGGAAGGATGGAAACAAGAGGGGGACATAAGATTGAAAAGCAAAGGCAACAGTTTTAGTTACCTAATGGCTCAGCCTCAGCCTCAGCAGGTGGCCTGCCTGCCTCCCAACTTCGAAAAGCTTCTTTTCTTCATCATTACAGTGACACTTTCTTCATTTGTAAGCCTCAACATTAAAGCTATTAAAAGAATATCACAAACCAACAACGACCCATCATCCTCCTATCAATATTATACTCCAAAATAATGCAATTCCAGAGCTAATAATGTTGCACACAGCTCACCCAGCCAGTGTCCTAAAGAGTTTCCACAAATCAGGTGTATCATATGGGTTACATCTTATACATTCAGACTAATTTGATCCACAATAGTTGAAGTCAAAGAAATTAGGATATCAAGTAACATCATAATTCGAGCTAATCACGGTTAACTCTTTTGCCTCCTCAGTTAACCCACTTACTCAAGTCATAATTGTTATTCAATCAGACCTTACCATAATTGAATATGAACCAATAATCATATAATTCATATTTCATATCATAATTGCTTGGGATTAACTGTAAAGATTAGCTGCCATGCACCAAAAGGAGCAGGAGCAGATGATTGAAAAGGTTTTGCATGCAAAACAGAAAATATAAGGAAAGAGTAAGATCTCAGGTCCAGCAAAACGAATACTTTTATATCTCCTCTCTGTTAATAAGTTAGCTCGAGCCGGTTTCTTAAACATTTATACAAAATTTTCAGAGGCCAAGGGATTATAATGTGGGCCTGTGGGAGAGAGAAGATACCAGGACGAATATGATGCAACACAGCATCCTGCAATATGAGGGGAGGCATCACATTGTAGAATTTTGTGCAAGAAACAGAAGTCAGATTGTCATTACAAATTGCAGAAAGACTATTTGCGGCTGTAAAAGGAGGTGCAAGTAATGCCAGGAGCAAACTTTAAGCTTTCACTAAGGCAAGCTACAGACCCAACTTCTCCTATTCCTGCGAGATTGATTCATAATCACCATTCACGAGACCATAATGAGCCACAGAACTATGATTACCAATTTCCTAAGATTACGAGTATTGATTGAATACAAAATGAGAAAACAGAACCAATTTTCTCCAACTACCATACTTTCATTAGTTGATCACTAACCTTGAACCTCTTGCGCCGTGAATCATCAGGAATGGAGCCAGAATATCGTTGTCTTCTTAAGGCCTCATTCTTAAATTGCCCTGCTGCCATTTCCTGCATTCTGCTGCCATCACCCTGTGGTGGATTTCTTGAGTGTTGGGTAAAGCCATCCTTGTCCCATGTAACCTCATAATCAGCCCAGAGGCGAGATCCTTGCTGCAGTAGCCATTTTGAGTTAGCATTAAGAAGTCTTCCTCAACCCACAAGGAGATTACAAAAAAAAACTCATATAATAGTGCAAAATGTAGAAAGCACACATTTACAAAGAGGATTGAATTTATGTCATAATCCTCCCTAACTTCAATCATCAATGATATTGGTTGATTCTGATATGTGAGAGAGCATGTAGTTTAAGACATTTCATTCAGGGTTCGGACTAATAAAAATGATAATGTTCATCTTGATCTTACCATCATACTTGCTTACACTACCTAAACCATTTTCACACGTATCATGATACAAATGACCTCTATCTATCTTACATTACAACCGTGGGTTAGTTGTGATTTGTCCTTATACATTGGATAAGAGTGCTATTTCAATCTTATGGCTACTTGCCAAAAACAAAAGAGGTGACGAGAAAATTAGCCAAGCAACTCCAAATGACTTGATTATAAAATAGAGAGGTAAATTCCAACCTTCTGCAATGAGCGACCAGACAGCACCCTTAGAGCATTGTAAAAGTCCCTGTGTTTCTCAAACTGAACTGTTATTTTACAGTGTAAGCCTGAAATTATGTCTTCTGCATCCTCATTGCCATCCTTACCAAAAGCATCATCCACAGCAATATTTAGGTTCCTGTAGAGTGTATATTGAAGGGAAAAACATGCTGATGATGAGTCAAAATAAAACTAAACATAAGAAGAACGATACGTAGATATAATGGAGGTCATCAATTTCTAATGCTGCAATGCAATACATTCATTATTTCACACCTAAGCTCAGAAGTACAATGTAGATGACCTCTTGGTTCCTACAGTATTAGTGCAGAGACACCAATGCCATTATACAACGAAGGAGTTCATCGAATTGAGCTTGGCACCTAATGGTCAAACTAAACATGACATGCAAAATAAATGGGGAAGAAGATTGAAGAAGAAACAATCAGAGGCAAAACCTTATCTTTCCAAATGTAGAAAAGATGGTATGTGTGACCAACATGGAGGGCTTTGACGAAACCCGAGGCTCGGCAAACCACCTTGATGGAGCGCCCCTCAAGGTAATGGTATCAGGTCCTTGGTTCCCACTTCTCGAATATCCTAAGGCAAATTCAGGACAATCACAGACCAAAGCTTACTGCGTAAACACCATTAAAAATTTAAAAGACGCTGAAATTTGCTTACCACGATTTCCAAATGCGTAAAAATCCCCCCAAGCCGTCTTCATTGCCTCAAAATTATCAGATTCCGGTATAACGACTGTGAGTTTGAATTTGAACCCCTCAAGATTCAGCTCAATCCCATCCAATTTCTCAACCAGGAATCGCCTCCAATCCAAAAACTTCTTCTCCAACGCCGTGATTTCCTCTTCCTCCTCCTCATACCTCTTGTAAGCACTTTTCAAAAATCCAAGATCTCGAACGAAGAGAGTACCGCGAGCAAGTGGGTCTTCGCGCTTGCGTGTCCTAACTTCTTTAATGCGTTTGATCACCAAATCCTCCTCAGGGACAATTACCGGAACCGAAAGCGAAGTCTTGAGAAAGTCAATGAGAGCTCGCTTCAACTTCCACTCATCAAGGGATTTACTCACTGAAGGGCTCGACGGATAGACTGTGAAGTTGAGTCTCAGACGCGGCACCAGCTTAAGACCATTCTCCATCTCTAACGTTTCCGTGGGAGGTAGCAACTCCAACGGTTTGACCGTCATTCTCGGTCCTCTCTCTCTCTTCACAGACCTGTCACTATTACTAAATTAGGGTTTCGCTTAGCTCCTCCGCCACACCAACGACCAACGAGAAGAACGATAGCCTACGCCACGCCGTCAGGGGTTGGATTCAGCTCCGGCTACTATAGAGTATTTTAGGCCTTTTTTTTTCATTTCTTTTTCTCGAAGGAGCGATATGTTTTAATTATAATTCGAATTCACTTTTATCTTTGAATTTTAAAATTCGTTCTAAAATATCTACGCTAATATGTCGAAATATTGAACTAAAATTGTGTATCGTCGATACGACACCGTATAGATAGAAATCTTAGCCGTAAACGGAAAAGCGGATATATCAGATAACGTCGGGTGTTGTACGGTCAATCCTAACCGTCCGATAAAATACGAATTCCAAAAAAATAAAATTGGTAGTGAAAATACCGATTGGAGATCTTGGAAAAAACCTGCAAGTGCAAGCAAAGCGATGGGGCAATGCGCAAGTTGCCTCGACGAAGGCCAAGAGCAAGAGAGGAAGGAGGAAGAAAGATTGGCCTCCGTCGAAGCTCGCGCCAAAGCTGCTGAAGCCGCTCAGAAAAGGTAATTTCCTCTCCCCCTCACCTTTTTAACTTTCTTTCATAATTTCTGTACATCTTGTTCCTTCTTGTTCAATTGGAACCAGCTGATCATAATGATTAGGGCTTTCGTTTGATCCTTATGTTTTAAAGTAGATTTCGAAAAAATGAGTTTCGTTTTTTAAAAATACACTTTTGATACGTTTAATTGATTATTCATACCGAGGATATAACATCCATCGTTAACTAGAAATGAGAATTTCAAATTAGGAACTACGATGGGAATCCTCCATGTTTTTATGCTGAAAAGTGATATTAAATACTTGCAGGCAAGAAGAATTTGAAAAATCTGCTGCAGGAAGGGCTGCACGTGCTCAGTTGGCCGCAAATGCAAAGCAATCTGCTAACACTAACAAGGGAGAACCAGTTCTTAAGGTCATTATACTTTCACTCATAGAAGTTGTTTCACGCTATTTCTTGGAGCATTTCGATGATGGGCATTTCGATGATTTTAAAACTTCCTTATTGTTTTTTGTGGATGCAGTGGAGTATGGGGTGAGGTCGTGCTCTATTGTCAGCTTCGCTTCTTTTTCGCTGTAAGTGAAATTTCTAAGCACCTATGTATGTTTATCACTGGGAGATTTTGTAGTACTAAGACCCTATGCCTGAATGATCATCCTATATTTTCTTTTTATATCACTTGCTTAAAATTATAATAAGCTCTTCTTCATGTAACGTGGTTACAGATTTCACTTGCATTACAATGTAATGAATCTTGTTTGTTTCCCTACTAAGAGCAAATTTCATTCGTGCAGTTCTAATGAAAAGGAAAAAATTGTATATTTATCCGCGATCCTGGGCTCCTCTTGTACAAAGCAACTTGTGTATGCTCCCAAGTCTCCCAAGGCAGAAGTTATTGAATGGAACTACAGTCTTGTATTTGTTATTCATGAATCAATGAAACCAAATAAGTGTGCAGACTTATATATTTTTTTACACTGTTCTTCCATGTAAATTTTACTCCTTGCTTTGCTCACTTGGTAAAACCTTGTCTATGATGATATCATTATTTTCCAAGATATGCCATTGTGCTCCATTAGCTGTTATATACTTTCTCATATCGTGGCAGAGATTATGTCGGGTTGAAATGCTTTCGCTGTTGTGTTGGATATCTTGTTCACATTCAATAAGTTTGCTTGAATTTCTTAGATATGTCGATATTGTTGGATATTGACGTTTACACGTTAATCGATGAGAGTAGTTCATTGGTTCAAATCCTGCAACCATTCCAAGTGCCAACCAAGGATTACAGCCTACTGAGCTCAGTTACAAGATCCAAAATTTTAGATAGCGAGTCAATATGGACAATTTTGGCAGGCTTCCAGTTTTTCTAGCTACAGAGTTGCTATCAGAAGTCGGGCCTTGGTGGGTTCCCAACACGGGAAAATGCCTGTGATGTATCCTTTGACATGTCGGGAGGCTTTTCTGATGAGCAGTCATTGCCAGTCAGTCATTTTGGTTCTTGACTTTCATGGTTCAAGCATCACAGATTCACACCCAACAACTTTTATCTTTTGGTTTGCTTTACAAACATTGCTTCGACAATTATCGTACTAACTTTGAATGCTTAAATCATGTTATTTTATTATTTTATTGGATGAAACATAACAGAGCTTAAAATTCACAACAATCCCGGCTACTTGCTTGTTTTGATTCCTTTTAGGCATTAATGAAGTTCATACTAGATTTTGAAGTGGGAAACAAAGTTGATGCTTGAAAAGGAGAAAAATAATGCAACAAAATGTGCTATTTACTCAATAGACTACTAAATCCTTGATTCGTTACACAAAATCAGTTGATTTGAACATGCAGAATTTGGAACTGTAAGTCTACCCTAAAATCTGGCCAAGTGTTGTTCCAACATTCCCTCAGTTTTCAACAGATTATGAGAGGTCAAGGAAAAGAATGGCAGAAGGAAAGAAAATTGATGGAATATGCTGGTGGCACAACCCAATGCAATAATTGAGCTTTCATATCTGCTCAACTTCTTCCCCAAAACTCTTCCTCTCAGAAGGTGGAAAAAAAAAAAGATTCTTTTAGATGAAACTCTGAGGAGGAGCTGATAATTGGAGTTCATGTGCGGCTTGAAAAAAATCTGCAGCTTGAAGCAACAAACCTTCCATTTTGGAGAGCACTCCAAGGTTGAACCATGCTTCATGGCTTGTAGGATCCAATCTTACAGCATTCATCAACAAGCTGCGTGCAATTGGAAGTGATTGGTTACCGCATTTCATCAATACTTCTGCTGTTGAGATGATACTCGGAATATAATCAGGATCAACCGATAGAGAGACAGAGTATGAAACAAGTGCTTCCTTGTGTAACGATCGAGCCTCAAAAAACTTGCCTGCAATGGTTTTGGTTCAGTTTAACTTATATTGTAGAAATTTGCCAACCATTTCATTACAAAAGATACAATCAAAATGATTGAAAAAAATAGTTCTACCTGTTGTATGCCAACCTCTGGGGCAATGAACATTTAATGTTTTGGCTTTGTTCAGGCAAATTTCTGCATCCGCCCAGGAAGCAAGCTTTGAATATATGGCAGCCAAATCCTGCCAGGCTGCCCGTTCTAAGTCACGTTCTGCCGCTGCCTGCAAAAGAGAGATTTTAGAAGCTGTTGATCTCTTCCTGATGTGGAAAAGGGTCGCAGGAAAGATTATCAGGGCGTGCCTACTGTACCATGGAGTGAATACAAACATAATATAGAAACAATTTAGAGTGGGGGCAAAACCTCTAGTTCCAAGTCCTTGGATTGGTTAAGGTTCGTAGCCTGAAGCTGAAGTTCATCTCGTGATTGAATTAGTGCTAGCAAGATTCTGTAGGTTTCTATTGCTTGCTTTGGCTGTTCCTGAGCAATTTTGAGGACAGCTTTCAATCGAAGAAATTCCAATTGATCCATCCTCTCAGCTTCGTCCAAAGCAAAATCAACTATGGTTTCAGCGTCCTTGAGTCGCCTCTCAGCTGAAAGTATGAGGGTCAAAAGCTTCCAACCTCTTCCGGAACCATCAGCCACCATATTTGAGTACGCCATTGCACTGTAGAAGGCAACATCAAGATTTCTCTGCACAGCATTTTCCAAGCTAATGTTGAACATTACTTCTGGATCATGCCTCCTACCGAGAGAAGAAACTCTTAGGGAGTTCAATGATTCTTTTTGGAAAAGAGTTCTTTCAGAGTCTGATACAGAAGCTCTGGCTGCATTCCCATAGCAAACACCTAAAAATTTGTGGGATTCAGCATTGAAATGTTTACTGTGTTCACTGGCCATATCGATCATTCTACTAGCACATTTTATTCCATCACGTGCATATTTTGTATCCTCTGAACACAATTTTGCAAGCAACAAAAATGAATGAAAATGGGGCTTCTGCTTTACTTCAGAGGAACCGCAGACCTTCATTAGAAGGTTCAAAGCTGTTTCATTCTGTCCTGCCGCATTGTAACATAGAGCAAGAAAGTACCACCTCTCAGCTCGACTATATATTCCAGGAAGAATCTGCTCCACGTGCTCAGCCAGTAATTCAAACTGCCTTGTGATAGAAAGTGCAAAAGTCAGATGATTCATAATCTCTGGATCCCAGTTTATTTCCTGCGTCACCACTTTCCTCATGAGTATTAGCAACAAAAGGATTGCTTCTTCTACATTGTTTTTAGGTGTTCTTGGACCGAATACATAAAACTTAAGGGGAAGGCTTGCTTCAACACCTCCGTAGAGTAATGTGCCAGCCAATTCTTTCTCTATGGCAGCCAACTTGTTTGGATCTAGATTCCATGGTTTAACAAGGACTCGGCGGTAGGCGTTTATGGCCTCGTCGAGATAACCACCCTTAATCCACAAAGTAGGCAGTAATTCCAAAGCTTTGTGTAACATTTCCTGAAATTTGCAGTCTTCGCCAATAAACTCGGGCATTCCATTAGGCAGAGCTGATTCCACTGTATCAAGAATTATCCTGCATTCTTTAGCAGACTCTGATGAACAAGAAAGAATTATGATCAACAGCACAGTCAGACTGATAAACAAGAGAAATTGTAGTATCTATTGCATTGTTCATCTTGCTAACCAATCATAACATAACGCTGTTACAGAACATTGTCTTCAAAATATGACATAAAACTATAGTAAGAAAAGTGAACAAGAGCAATTTACCTATATATCTGCCAAGTTCCTCCAGTGATTTTGCCTTGAGTAAAATTGCTTCAAGTAGTAGGCTAACAGAATGCATGGACAGTACACCAGTAGGGGGGGCACTGTCACCTTTAGGACGAGGTTTTTCCTCTCTTATCTTTTCGGTGATTGCCTTAACCATTCTTGGCGTCAAGGATCTAATGTCTATACCTTGAAATACCTGCAGGGCAGCATCAAAATTTCCTCTCTGATATTCAAGCCTCCCCAGTAAAGCTCTGGCTTCCTAGTTTGAAAGTGGACAGAATGTAAGACGATGAGATGAAGCCAAGAAATCAAGAAAAGATGAGCTTATTTGGTCAAAGAGATTTGAAAACAGAAATGGCACCTCGTAGTTTAATGAGAGGGCTTCTTTTAAAGTGGATTCAACTTCATCTACTTGAGAATCTTCAAATTTCAAATCCCAGTCTCCAGTTCTCGAGGAAAGACAACTGGCCGAGAAATCCCTCGTCGCTAGTGACTCCGGGGACTGTGGTGGCTCTTCGAACTTGAATTGCTCTCCTGAACAAGCGCACAGCATCTTTTCCAGAATGGGTTGAGAACTTTGATGGTCTTTGCTAATAATGCAAGGAAATTCACTATATCAGGTAATTATTCGAGTTCAATCATGAACGAATTCTAGCGATTCTACAGAGTAATCGACTAAGAAATACAAACGTTGGGCAAAAAGGGTACTGTTGAGTGGTCTTTGAACTCTAGGATTCGATTTTCGAGTAAAGTAAACTGGAAAAAAGGACCTTTGTTTTGCTTTTACCGTATAGGAAACGGCGTGGACAAATTCTGCAATGAAATAGTGGGAAGACGATGGAGGAATAGAAGCTCAGTAATACGAACTTAGGGGCAAACTGTAATGTATGATTAATGACAAAGAAGAACAAGACAATAAATGCGGGAAACAAGAAAGAAGATGAAATGGACGACACGAGCAAGAAGACCATCGCATCTTTTTGGACTTATTCCTTCAGAAAAAAAAACAAGAAAACAAAAACTCCGTGATTTTGAAATGGAAACACACCAACGTGAGAACTTCCACTCTTTCCCCAGTCCCTTCCTTCCTATTCCGAGCCTGAAGCGATTGGAGCTTCTTCATTCAAGACCATCCATTGCGAAGCATGTGAGATGGTTTTCGAGTTTGAGATCTGAGTCATCTGCTGCTACCTTGATATGGCCTTTTCCTTTTCTCTCCTCTTTTTTTGTGTATGATGACATTATTAGTGCAGAAAGGTCTGTCTATGTTGGAAGGGCTTTGTGCCTACAGGGACAGAGCCGCAGATGCCTATGGATTCCCTCAGTTTACTCTCTCTCCATTGGTTTGAGGTTTGATGGGTTCCATTTTTCTTTATTCTTTTCATTGAAATGTTCGTGGCTTTATAATTTATTAAAGTAACCCAGACGGCAGAAACTGTAAATTTATTCTCTACATACATTCAGCAGCAAAGACCTCGATTCATGCTATCCGACAAAAAGAAATTTGAAAAAAGAACTTGGATAATAGTCTATGATTTGGGGAAATTATAATCACTGACCTAAAATCAAACCCCATTAATGATAATCATCATATAAAATAGATCAAGCTTTCACAAAATACTTTAAAAAGCACCAACAATTTCTCACCTATTAGTTTAATTCCAAGTGCCTTCCAAACAGTGGAGCAGCCAACACCAGCCAGAGGATGAACAGCACGTGATATTCCACCTGTCAGATTGAATCGAATGGGCGTAATGAGTAATCTCTGTGCAGCATTAAGAACGAGAATCCAGTAAAAAGATAAATAAATAAAATATCACTTGGGCATTTAAACAAACATCTGGCGTACGCTTAGATTATGGTTGCTAATCACTTTTTGACTAATCTCTGAACTTCCTTCCTTTTCTTACAACTTTT